ATTTTCTCAATAGCCCTATTTCTGTAAAGGGTGGAAGAGAATCAATCGATCGGTTACTTCTAACGCTCATGAACATGAATAAGTAATTCTGAAATTGCAGGCCACGTCGTTCGTCCTACCGGTGGTTTTATAAATTTCTATTGTGATATTCCGTGGAAAATCTCTGAGAGGTAAAAAGGGAAATTAAATCGAAGAAACAGGCAATCAGTAGTTCTCGAATCATTGTACGACGATGGTCGAAGACTGCACACTGGTGTATTACAGTTTCCCTAGAATTCTCTTAACAATGATAGGACTTTGGCCATATCAGGACACGAAATTCATTTTAAGAAACAGCTTTATCAGCTTCAATTTCTTTCTGTTTATCGTGGCTCAGGTGCTATAATTACTATTTAATTTTCGTTTATTGCATTATTAGATTTCACACTTCTTTTGATTGGATACAGTGACGAGTGTGTATTTAAATGACCGCATAGTGTTAAGCCATAGTGATAAGTTATTTATACCTTTTTTAATTGGAAAGAAGAATTTAATTTTAATAAACTAAACTTATAGATGTATTTCTCGTATATGGAAACAGCCTAAATGCGCATGGAGTTTTCAAAATCTTAACCTTATTAACTATGATCCATTTTCGTGTCGTTCCATTTTTCAATTTCTTCCTTTTTATAAACATATTCTTTAATATATCATTATATTTATTATAATTTTCCAACTTGATAGAAATTGATTTGTTTCTATCGAATCCATAATTATAAAATTTTTTGATAACGAATAGTCCAGTTAATAGATTATTTAAAAAAAAAAACATTAAATTAAATTAAATCATATTTCTTTTAAAATTTGTATAAACTTTTATAAACTGTACTTATACATGTTCTCATTGTATATTATGTTTGTTACCATTGAATATTTGTCAAATTCCCTTCTGTGAGTATTTCTATAATTCATTACATTTTCCAGTGTCTTCAAAACCCGAGAATTCATGCTAAAGTACGTTTCGTTCGTGCTGATAAGCTTGGGCTCTTTTGCAAGGTACAATATAAATTGGTATCAACTCCCTGCAGTAAGTACTCGATCGTCCAGTTAGATAACAATTTGCTTGTAAGCATTTTGCAAAGTACACATAAATCGTAAATAAACGTAGATGAAGAAGTTTCTAGACAAAATAAAGCGCGACATTGCAATGGAACACGGCGAGGCACTTCAGATTATGAAGAAACACGCTTACATGGCGAAAATCTACGGGTTACGATTGGGATGTAAGCGACATCATTGAAATAACACTACACATACGAATTGACGTAGTTTCAGTTTTCTAATTTGACATACGTGTTACAGCGGTTTTTTATATCTCAGTAATAATCGTTCTATTCTATTACGCGTCAATCCATATTTATGAGAAAATTGTGCCGACGAACGGAACTCGTCTGAAGAAATTTCCTATAAGTACGGATTACCTGGTACTTGATGACAAGTATCATTTACTCCCGTTTCTACATATGAACTTCTCGTT